GGAACAGATGAAACCGTGGAGAGATTATGGTGAGGGTGAATCTGAGTCGTCCGAGACAGACGACGAGTCGGATGGACGAGTGCAGATAAGGTAGCAAAAATCGTAATGATTACGAAAAACGAAAGAACGAACGTGAGCAAAAGAGTTAAATCAATCAAAACAAAAACGAAAAACAAAATAGAAAGGACAGAAGAAAAGTGTTTTTTGGTGAAGACACACGTGTTTTGGAGAAGTCAATAAGTTTTTGAGAAGTTATTAAAGAAGTTTTCTTTTGATTAAATAAAAGTTAAATAAATTAAATTAAATTAAGTTAAATTAAATAAAAGAGTGTCGAAAAATATTGCATTTTTATTTTCAAAGAAAATAACTACATGGTGTCAGAAGTGCACAATAAAAAAAATAGTCGACCTTGAAGTGTATATATTAATAAATAAATAAGCGGTCAAAAAGAAAAAAAAAACTGAAAAAATCGCTAATGAAAAATTTGCCCGAATCGCTATCAGAATTAACCACTAAGCAATTGCAAGAACTTTTAAGAAAATACGGCTTACCACATTGGTATAATTTAAAAGTAAATTTAATTGACCGGTTAGAGAAATTCATGGAAAATTCAGAGAAAAATTGGAATTCTGAATTAAAAAATAACGAAATAACACTCAATACAGAAGAAAAATTAGTGAATGTGAACAATAATAATACGATCGAGAGCGACGCGGCGGACGGTGAAACGTTAAACATGTCAAGTGAACCGGTACAAAATAATATAAACTTTAAGGAGGTCGAAGAATCGTTAGAATTGTTCGATGGTGAGTCAAACAAAAAAATAGAGGACTGGTTGCTTGATTTCGAAAGCATTTCGGTAGTGTGTAAATGGAATCAAGTTCAAAGATTCCTATATTGCAAAAGATTATTACGTTTGGTTGCAAAGTTGGCCGTAGAAGCAGAAACTGGCGTCAACAGTTGGGAGATATTAAAACGAACTCTCAGAACCGAATTTGGTTGCCAGGAATCGGAAAACTTGCACAAAAAATTGGAAAATACGAAAAAGCTAAGTAACGAATCATTCTTGGAATATTTTTATAAAATGAAAAAAGTTGCTTCTAGAGGTACAGTGGAAGAAACACACTTAATTGAGTACATTATAGCAGGCATACCGGATAGTTCACTAAACAAGGCCACACTCTATCAGTCTTGTAGTCTTGAGCAGCTAAAAATTAACCTCAAAGCTTATGAGAAGTTTAAGGCCGATCAGGAGAAGGAAAAAAGATGCCAAGGTCTAAAAAATTACGACAATTATTATAGTGGAAATCAGGTCAATAAAAGATGCAATAACAGTGGAGCGGTGTCACACACAACACAACATTGCCCAGATAGGGGAAGAGGAAGAAGATGTTTCAAGTGTAATGAATTTGATCACATTGCCACAATATGTCCAAATAATACAAATTTTAGACGGCCTGTAAGCCAACAAAATCCAAATCAAGCACGTGATGCAGCATCACGAATTGATAGAGTTCAGCTCTCGGATTTTACATTAAAAATTCAAATATTGGAGCAGCCATTCGAAGCTCTGGTAGATACTGGTAGTGATATTAATATAATAACACAACGCGCAACAGAATGTTTGGGTGTCGAAGGATTCAATGGACCAGGTACAAGTGTTGTGGGGTTTGGTGACAATAACAAACTAACGAAAGGATCTGTAAAACTCGATGTAATTGTAGATTCAGAGCATTATAATTTGAATTTTGATGTAGTACCTGACTCTTGGGTAAATACTGACGTAATTTTAGGTAAGGGATTTTTGCGATGTGCAACAGTTCTAATAGACAAGGGTAAATCGTCACATATAAAAACAAGACCAGAGACGATGTTGAAGCGGGCTCACATATAAATTTAATACGTATTTCTGATGTCACCGATGCGGAAGATCTATCAAACATAAAAAATTCTTTGCTACGGGCGGATGTAAGAGAACTAATAGAACTATATTCACCACAAAAGGCAGAGGAGCCCTATATAAAAATGCATATCACACTGGAAGACGATAAACCAATTTTTCAAAAGCCACGAAGACAGAAAGGGACTTCGTTCAGTTTCAGATTCAGGAATGGTTGGAAAATGGAATAATTCAAGAAAGCTCATCGAATTACGCAAGCCCAATAGTGTTAGCGCGAAAAAAGGATGGCAGTTACCGATTATGCGTCGACTATAAGAAGCTAAAGTCCAAGGTAATTCGTGACAGATACCCTCTGCCAAATATCGAAGAGATACTGGAAGGATTATATAACGCAACTGTATTTACTACATTAGACTTATGTAATGGTTTCTTTCATGTCGATGTCGATGAATTGAGTATGAAATATACGTCGTTTGTCACACCAGATGGACAGTACGAGTTCCGCAAAGTACCTTTTGGTCTATGTAATTCACCTGCGGCATTTCAGAGATATATAAATACGATATTTCAAAATTTAATAAGAAAAAAGATTGTTTTGGTTTATATGGATGACTTGATCATCCCCGCTGATGATGAAGAAGATGGAGTTAGGAAGCTTAAAGAAGTGTTATTCGTAGCCGAGAATCACGGTCTATTAATAAAATGGGAAAAGTGCGCCTTCTTAAGAAAAAGCGTGGAGTTTTTAGGGCACTTAGTAGAACACGACGAAATACGGCCTTCAGAAGAGAAGATCAGAGCAGTAAAAAAATTTCCAACTCCTAAAAATTTACACGGAGTTATGAGCTTTTTAGGACTCACAGGATTTTTTCGTAAGTTTATAAAAGGATACGCTTTGGTAGCTAAACCACTAACAGATCTCACAAAGAAACACGAATCGTTCGTATGGGGTGAAATACAAAACAATGCGTTTGTCCTACTAAAGGAGAGTTTATGCTGTGATCCAGTTTTAAAGCTTTTCAATCCTACTCTTCCAACCCAACTTCACACCGACGCGAGTAAGGAAGGCTACGGAGCGGTATTATTACAAGAACATGGTAACAAAAACTACCACCCCGTATTTTACCTTAGTTACAAAACAAAAGCAGCAGAAAAAAATTATTCCAGCTACGATTTGGAAGTATTAGCAATTGTAATAGCGTTGAAAAAACTACGAATTTACTTATTGGGTATGTCCTTTGAAATTTTTACTGACTGTAAAGCTTTCCAACAGACAATGGCTAAGAAAACCTTAAATAGTAGAGTGGCAAACTGGGCCATGCAACTGGAAGAGTTTTATTGCAAGGTGAGCCACCGATCAGGCAGCAGCATGCGACACGTTGATGCATTGAGTCGTTATCCCGTCGTATTGCAGGTAGAGGATGGTATAGTGTTAGCTGTTAAAAAAGCACAAAATCTGGATGAATTCTGCCAAATGACACGCAAAATTTTGGAGAACGGGCCATATCAGAACTTTGAAATGCGAAACGAGATACTGTATAAATTTGTGGATGGAGCATATTTATTAGTAATACCTAAGACAATGAGAAGAGAATTAATAACGAAAATTCATGAAGAAGGACATTGGAGTACGGAAATAGTAAAAACGGTAGTGAAGCAAGAATATTTCGTCCCGAACTTAAGGAAGCATGTTGAAGCGGTAACAGCAAATTGCATTAACTGCATTCTCTTAGCAAGAAAACACGGAAAAAGAGAGGGATTCCTTTCACCTATTGAAAAACCTGATGTCCCTTTATACACATTTCATCTAGACCATTTAGGACCACTTCCTTCAACTGCAAAAAATTACAAATATCTTTTCGTGGTAATAGATGCTTTCTCTAAGTTTATATGGGTATACCCTGTAAAATCCAGTTCAACAGAAGAAGTTCTTAAAAAATTGCAACAGCAAAGCGAGGTGTTCGGGAACCCTCATCAGTTTATAACCGATAGAGGCGCTGCTTTCACTGCGAATAGCTTTAAAACGTATTGTATAGAGCGAAATGTTCAGCATCATTTGATAGCAACAGGTGTCCCCAGAGGAAATGGACAAGTAGAACGTGTGAATAAGGTAATAATAGATTTGCTAACCAAACTATCATTTGAAAATCCTTTAAGGTGGTACACTTATGTTAGTCGTGTACAGATGGCGATAAACTCCACTAAGTCCAGAAGTACAAAAAGGACACCGTTTGAATTGCTTTTTGGTGTCTCTGTGTTCAACACCGAATGTCAAAATGTTCGACAATGTTTTGAAGAAGAGATATTAAACAACTTCGAGGAATATCGACATGAGTTGCGCCAGCAAGCCAAAGAAGAAATTTTAAAGGTTCAACTAGAAAACAAAAAACATTTTGACAAAAGACGCAAGGAAGCCGTTCGTTATCACGTTGGAGACCTAGTTGCTATACTTCGAACGCAGTTTGGAGCTGGACTTAAGATTTTTCCAAAGTACTTGGGGCCTTATGAAGTCACCAAAGAAAAGAAAAACGATCGTTATGAAGTGAAGAAGGTAGGTTCGCATGAGGGACCAAATTTAACGTCCACGGTCGCGGAACAGATGAAACCGTGGAGAGATTATGGTGAGGGTGAATCTGAGTCGTCCGAGACAGACGACGAGTCGGATGGACGAGTGCAGATAAGGCAGCAAAAATCGTAATGATTACGAAAAACGAACGAACGAACGTGAGCAAAAGAGTTAAATCAATCAAAACAAAAACGAAAAACAAAATAGAAAAGACAGAAGAAAAGAGATTTTTTTGGTGAAGACACGCGTTTTTTGGAGAAGTCGATAAGTTTTTGAGAAGTTATTATTAAAGAAGTATTTTTTTGATTAAATAAAAGTTAAATAAATTAAATTAAATTAAATTAAGTTAAATTAAATAAAAGAATTAAATTAAGTTAAATTAAATAAAAGAGTGTCGAAAAATATTGCATTTTTATTTTCAAAGAAAATAACTACATGGTGTCAGAAGTGCACAAAAAAAAATAGTCGACCTTGAAGTGTATATATTAATAAATAAATAAGCGGTCAAAAAGAAAAAAAAAACTGAAAAAATCGCTAATGAAAAATTTGCGTGAATCGCTATCAGAATTAACCACTAAGCAATTGCAAGAACTTTTAAGAAAATACGGCTTACCACATTGGTATAATTTAAAAGTAAATTTAATTGACCGGTTAGAGAAATTCATGGAAAATTCAGAGAAAAATTGGAAATCTGAATTAAAAAATAACGAAATAACACTCAATACAGAAGAAAAATTAGTGAATGTGAACAATAATAATACGATCGAGAGCGACGCGGCGGACGGTGAAACGTTAAACATGTCAAGTGAACCGGTACAAAATAATATAAACTTTAAGGAGGTCGAAGAATCGTTAGAATTGTTCGATGGTGAGTCAAACAAAAAAATAGAGGACTGGTTGCTTGATTTCGAAAGCATTTCGGTAGTGTGTAAATGGAATCAAGTTCAAAGATTCCTATATTGCAAAAGATTATTACGTGGGGCTGCAAAGTTGGCCGTAGAAGCAGAAACTGGCGTCAACAGTTGGGAGATATTAAAACGAACTCTCAGAACCGAATTTGGTTGCCAGGAATCGGAAAACTTGCACAAAAAATTGGAAAATACGAAAAAGCTAAGTAACGAATCATTCTTGGAATATTTTTATAAAATGAAAAAAGTTGCTTCTAGAGGTACAGTGGAAGAAACACACTTAATTGAGTACATTATAGCAGGCATACCGGATAGTTCACTAAACAAGGCCACACTCTATCAGTCTTGTAGTCTTGAGCAGCTAAAAATTAACCTCAAAGCTTATGAGAAGTTTAAGGCCGATCAGGAGAAGGAAAAAAGATGCCAAGGTCGAAATAATTACGACAATTATTATAGTGGAAATCAGGTCAATAAAAGATGCAATAACTGTGGAGCGGTGTCACACACAACACAACATTGCCCAGATAGGGGAAGAGGAAGAAGATGTTTCAAGTGTAATGAATTTGGTCACATTGCCACAATATGTCCAAATAATACAAATTTTAGACGGCCGGTAAGCCAACAAAATCCAAATCAAGCGCGTAGTGCAGCATCACGAATTGATAGAGTTCAGCTCTCGGATTTTACATTAAAAATTCAAATATTGGAGCAGCCATTCGAAGCTCTGGTAGATACTGGTAGTGATATTAATATAATAACACAACGCGCAACAGAATGTTTGGGTGTCGAAGGATTCAATGGACCAGGTACAAGTGTTGTGGGGTTTGGTGACAATAACAAACTAACGAAAGGATCTGTGAAACTCGATGTAATTGTAGATTCAGAGCATTATAATTTGAATTTTGATGTAGTACCTGACTCTTGGGTAAATACTGACGTAATTTTAGGTAAGGGATTTTTGCGATGTGCAACAGTTCTAATAGACAAAGGTGAAATCGTCACATATAAAAACAAGACCAGAGACGATGTTGAAGCGGGCTCACATATAAATTTAATACGTATTTCTGATGTCACCGATGCGGAAGATCTTTCAAACATAAAAAATTCTTTGCTACGGGCGGATGTAAGAGAACTTATAGAACTATATTCACCAAGAAAGCCAGAGGAGTCCTATATAAAAATGCATATCACACTGGAAGACGATAAACCAATTTTTCAAAAGCCACGAAGATTAGCACAGACAGAAAGAGACTTCGTTCAGTTTCAGATTCAGGAATGGTTAGAAAATGGAATAATTCAAGAAAGCTCATAGAATTACGCAAGCCCAATAGTGTTAGCGCGGAAAAAGGATGGCAGTTACCGATTATGCGTCGACTATAGGAAGCTAAACTCCAAGGTAATTCGTGACAGATACCCTCTGCCAAATATCGAAGAGATACTGGAAGGATTATATAACGCAACTGTATTTACTACATTAAACTTATGTAATGGTTTCTTTCATGTCGATGTCGATGAATTGAGTATGAAATATACGTCGTTTGTCACACCAGATGGACAGTACGAGTTCCGCAAAGTACCTTTTGGTCTATGTAATTCACCTGCGGCATTTCAGAGATATATAAATACGATATTTCAAAATTTAATAAAAAGGAAGATTGTTTTGGTTTATATGCATGACTTGATCATCCCCGCTGATGATGAAGAAGATGGAGTTAGGAAGCTTAAAGAAGTGTTATTCGTAGCCGAAAATCACGGTCTATTAATAAAATGGGAAAAGTGCGCCTTCTTAAGAAAAAGCGTGGAATTTTTAGGGCACTTAGTAGAACACGGTGAAATACGGCCTTCAGAAGAGAAGATCAGAGCAGTAAAAAAATTTCCAACTCCTAAAAATTTGCACGGAGTTATGAGCTTTTTAGGACTCACAGGATTTTTTCGTAAGTTTATAAAAGGATACGCTTTGGTAGCTAAACCACTAACAGATCTCACAAAGAAACACAAATCGTTCGTGTGGGGTGAAATACAAAACAATGCGTTTGTCATACTAAAGGAGAGTTTATGCTGTGATCCAGTTTTAAAGCTTTTCAATCCTACTCTTCCAACCCAACTTCACACCGACGCGAGTAAGGAAGGCTACGGAGCGGTATTATTACAAGAACATGGTAACAAAAACTACCACCCCGTATTTTACCTTAGTTACAAAACAAAAGCAGCAGAAAAAAATTATTCTAGCTACGATTTGGAAGTATTAGCAATTGTAATAGCATTGAAAAAACTACGAATTTACTTATTGGGTATGTCCTTTGAAATTTTTACTGATTGTAAAGCTTTCCAACAGACAATGGCTAAGAAAACCTTAAATAGTAGAGTGGCAAACTGGGCCATGCAACTGGAAGAGTTTTATTGCAAGGTGAGCCACCGATCAGGGAGCAGCATGCGACACGTTGATGCATTGAGTCGTTATCCCGTCGTATTGCAGGTAGAGGATGGTATAGTGTTAGCTGTTAAAAAAGCACAAAATCTGGAGAATTCTGCCAAATGACACGCAAAATTTTGGAGAACGGGCCATATCAGAACTTTGAAATGCGAAACGAGATACTGTATAAATTTGTGGATGGAGCATATTTATTAGTAATACCTAAGACAATGAGAAGAGAATTGATAACGAAAATTCATGAACAAGGACACTGGAGTGCGGAAAAAGTAAAAACGGTAGTGGAGCAAGAATATTTCGTCCCGAACTTAAGGAAGCATGTTGAAGCGGTAACAGCAAATTGCATTAACTGCATTCTCTCAGCAAGAAAACACGGAAAAAGAGAGGGATTCCTTTCACCTATTGAAAAACCTGATGTCCCTTTATACACATATCTAGACCATTTAGGACCACTTCTTTCAACTGCAAAAAATTACAAATATCTTTTCGTGGTAATAGACGCTTTCACTAAGTTTATATGGATATACCCTGTAAAATCCAGTTCAACAGAAGAAGTTCTTAAAAAATTGCAACAGCAAAGCGAGGTGTTCGGGAACCCTCATCAGTTTATAACCGATAGAGGCGCTGCTTTCACTGCGAATAGCTTTAAAACGTATTGTATAGAGCGAAATGTTCAGCATCATTTGATAGCAACAGGTGTCCCCAGAGGAAATGGACAAGTAGAACGTGTGAATAAGGTAATAATAGATTTGCTAACCAAACTATCATTTGAAAATCCTTTAAGGTGGTACACTTATGTTAGTCGTGTACAGATGGCGATAAACTCCACTAAGTCCAGAAGTACAAAAAGGACACCGTTTGAATTGCTTTTTGGTGTCTCTGTGTTCAACACCGAATGTCAAAATGTTCGACAATGTTTTGAAGAAGAGATATTAAACAACTTCGAGGAATATCGACATGAGTTGCGCCAGCAAGCCAAAGAAGAAATTTTAAAGGTTCAACTAGAAAACAAAAAACATTTTGACAAAAGACGCAAGGAAGCCGTTCGTTATCACGTTGGAGACCTAGTTGCTATACTTCGAACGCAGTTTGGAGCTGGACTTAAGATTTTTCCAAAGTACTTGGGGCCTTATGAAGTCATCAAAGAAAAGAAAAACGATCGTTATGAAGTGAAGAAGGTAGGTTCGCATGAGGGACCAAATTTAACGTCCACGGTCGCGGAACAGATGAAACCGTGGAGAGATTATGGTGAGGGTGAATCTGAGTCGTCCGAGACAGACGACGAGTCGGATGGACGAGTGCAGATAAGGTAGCAAAAATCGTAATGATTACGAAAAACGAAAGAACGAACGTGAGCAAAAGAGTTAAATCAATCAAAACAAAAACGAAAAACAAAATAGAAAGGACAGAAGAAAAGTGTTTTTTGGTGAAGACACACGTGTTTTGGAGAAGTCAATAAGTTTTTGAGAAGTTATTAAAGAAGTTTTCTTTTGATTAAATAAAAGTTAAATAAATTAAATTAAATTAAGTTAAATTAAATAAAAGAGTGTCGAAAAATATTGCATTTTTATTTTCAAAGAAAATAACTACATGGTGTCAGAAGTGCACAATAAAAAAAATAGTCGACCTTGAAGTGTATATATTAATAAATAAATAAGCGGTCAAAAAGAAAAAAAAAACTGAAAAAATCGCTAATGAAAAATTTGCCCGAATCGCTATCAGAATTAACCACTAAGCCATTGCAAGAACTTTTAAGAAAATACGGCTTACCACATTGGTATAATTTAAAAGTAAATTTAATTGACCGGTTAGAGAAATTCATGGAAAATTCAGAGAAAAATTGGAAATCTGAATTAAAAAATAACGAAATAATACTCAATACAGAAGAAAAATTAGTGAATGTGAACAATAATAATACGATCGAGAGCGACGCGGCGGACGGTGAAACGTTAAACATGTCAAGTGAACCGGTACAAAATAATATAAACTTTAAGGAGGTCGAAGAATCGTTAGAATTGTTCGATGTGAGTCAAACAAAAAAATAGAGGACTGGTTGCTTGATTTCGAAAGCATTTCGGTAGTGTGTAAATGGAATCAAGTTCAAAGATTCCTATATTGCAAAAGATTATTACGTGGGGCTGCAAAGTTGGCCGTAGAAGCAGAAACTGGCGTCAACAGTTGGGAGATATTAAAACGAACTCTCAGAACCGAATTTGGTTGCCAGGAATCGGAAAACTTGCACAAAAAATTGGAAAATACGAAAAAGCTAAGTAACGAATCATTCTTGGAATATTTTTATAAAATGAAAAAAGTTGCTTCTAGAGGTACAGTGGAAGAAACACACTTAATTGAGTACATTATAGCAGGCATACCGGATAGTTCACTAAACAACGCCACACTCTATCAGTCTTGTAGTCTTGAGCAGCTAAAAATTAACCTCAAAGCTTATGAGAAGTTTAAGGCCGATCAGGAGAAGGAAAAAAGATGCCAAGGTCTAAAAAATTACGACAATTATTATAGTGGAAATCAGGTCAATAAAAGATGCAATAACAGTGGAGCGGTGTCACACACAACACAACATTGCCCAGATAGGGGAAGAGGAAGAAGATGTTTCAAGTGTAATGAATTTGATCACATTGCCACAATATGTCCAAATAATACAAATTTTAGACGGCCTGTAAGCCAACAAAATCCAAATCAAGCACGTGATGCAGCATCACGAATTGATAGAGTTCAGCTCTCGGATTTTACATTAAAAATTCAAATATTGGAGCAGCCATTCGAAGCTCTGGTAGATACTGGTAGTGATATTAATATAATAACACAACGCGCAACAGAATGTTTGGGTGTCGAAGGATTCAATGGACCAGGTACAAGTGTTGTGGGGTTTGGTGACAATAACAAACTAACGAAAGGATCTGTAAAACTCGATGTAATTGTAGATTCAGAGCATTATAATTTGAATTTTGATGTAGTACCTGACTCTTGGGTAAATACTGACGTAATTTTAGGTAAGGGATTTTTGCGATGTGCAACAGTTCTAATAGACAAAGGTGAAATCGCCACATATAAAAACAAGACCAGAGACGATGTTGAAGCGGGCTCACATATAAATTTAATACGTATTTCTGATGTCACCGATGCGGAAGATCTTTCAAACATAAAAAATTCTTTGCTACGGGCGGATGTAAGAGAACTAATAGAACTATATTCACCACAAAAGGCAGAGGAGCCCTATATAAAAATGCATATCACACTGGAAGGCGATAAACCAATTTTTCAAAAGCCACGAAGACAGAAAGGGACTTCGTTCAGTTTCAGATTCAGGAATGGTTGGAAAATGGAATAATTCAAGAAAGCTCATCGAATTACGCAAGCCCAATAGTGTTAGCGCGAAAAAAGGATGGCAGTTACCGATTATGCGTCGACTATAAGAAGCTAAAGTCCAAGGTAATTCGTGACAGATACCCTCTGCCAAATATCGAAGAGATACTGGAAGGATTATATAACGCAACTGTATTTACTACATTAGACTTATGTAATGGTTTCTTTCATGTCGATGTCGATGAATTGAGTATGAAATATACGTCGTTTGTCACACCAGATGGACAGTACGAGTTCCGCAAAGTACCTTTTGGTCTATGTAATTCACCTGCGGCATTTCAGAGATATATAAATACGATATTTCAAAATTTAATAAGAAAAAAGATTGTTTTGGTTTATATGGATGACTTGATCATCCCCGCTGATGATGAAGAAGATGGAGTTAGGAAGCTTAAAGAAGTGTTATTCGTAGCCGAGAATCACGGTCTATTAATAAAATGGGAAAAGTGTGCCTTCTTAAGAAAAAGCGTGGAGTTTTTAGGGCACTTAGTAGAACA